GGATTATAAAAAGTAAGGTTTATTTAAGTCAAGCATAAGCAAAAAGTCATGCTTATCAAATGTGTAGTCACTCACTAAAGACCTATTTTAACATGGGGAATAAACCCCCTGATAGGTCTTACTGAACCAGCTGACAAAACTGGAGTGAAAACTATTTTTATTTTTAAAACAGCCTGTCCAGTTTAAAGTAAATTTCTTGCACCTGTTTAAATATCTGCCAGATTAAAGAGAGTTGATTACAGTATGCTGGACTGAGTATTTCATATGTATGTATGTATGTGTGCTGAGGAAGATTGCCCCAAACAATGGTAGTGAAGTGAAGCAGAAATGGTGTCTGACAGCAGAAGAGCATGACTTATTTGCATGGGGGAACCTGACAGTTGACACATTATTGGCACCTGCCGCTCAAAGCTAAAGCTCATTAAGACAATAAGAGGAAGAGGGCTTGATTTCGAAAATTCAAACTCGCCAATCAAGTCACAGCATCAGTGTTGTCTCATCTTCCTCGTCCTCATCTCTGCAGCTCGGGGTGTTTTCCTGTCTTAGTGCAGCTTTCGCCACAGCACGGCTCCTCTGTGGCTGCAAGTCAAAGCAAACCTCAAATGAACTGCAGATGCACTGGCACAGAGCGCTGTATGCTCCACCCACAGGAAGCATGGCTGTGTATGTTGTAAGGTGAAGCTGCACAGGAACCAATAAAAGAGGTTTATTCTCTAAACCAGGACTCTTGGTGTAACCCAGAAAATGTATGAAGTTATTAAACTCCATAATCAAGTACCATATACCATAATCAAGATGAACTCTGATAACTAGACGCCTCTGCAAGTAACTAACAACAATCCCAAAAACGTGATTTTGCACTTAAAAAAAAACTTTAAAAAGATGTGAAGGAGCCACATCTTGCAAAGAGTTTCATTGTAAACATTTTCCTTTGACACAAGAAAAACCACAACTTGCAGTGTTAGGTTAAACTTTTAGTCTTGAGATTCCTGTGGCCATCCTTTCACGCAGCAGCAGTTTGACTGAGCTCACAGATGTCAGTGGCACTACAAGGAAGAAAATGTGCACAACATGCAAGCTTTCGATAAGTGAGCTCATTTTTAGTTAGTTTCCCCTCTTCACACCTGCTCAGTGTGCACGTGAGACGACGTGGAGCAGTCAGACATTATGTCACTTGACAGGCTGTGAAATGGTGTGCAGCAACAGATCTGGGAGGAGAAAAAGGAGATCGAATGCTGATTTCTGACCAAGTAGTTGGAATCTGCTCATTTCCACTTCCATGTTTCCATTGTTGAACTGCATTAAGATTAGTTTTGTATAAGTTGTTGTTTTATCATAAACTGGGCTTTGGTACTTTATTCCTCTCGAGCAGTGAAACGAGCCGTTTCAGCCAAAGTCTTTGTAGAATAAGAAGCATTTATTGGGGCGATTATTCTAAAATTTATTTCAAGTAACTTTTATTTCAGTGCATGTACAGGATCACCAGGCCAAACTGATAAAAACTGCTTTCAAAGGTGTGCTGACTCAGGCTACCCTCATTAAGTCTGTTTCGGATTGTTTGGTGGGACACATTCACAGTGTCCTGCTGAAGGTCATTTTGTAGCTGTGGCAGTGCTCACCCTGTTCCTTCATGTATATCAGTATAATCTTGACTTGAAGTTGACCCATTAGAGCATTAACTTAAATGTTCCCATTCAATTTTCCTGTTGACTCCTGGGGGAGCATAGGTCCGCAACAACACCACGCCAACGGACTCTGTTCTGGGCTGCTCTCTTTAGCTGGGTCCACGTCATTCCGATGGCCTTCGCTTCGCTCTCGACAGATCTTCTCCACATCTGTTTGGGTCTCCCCACAAAATGTTCCCATTAAACAGTGAAAAATAGTTGAAATCAGTGATCATTTAAAAAGAAATCAGTTCTAGTATTGTATTGCAATTTTTATTTCATTTGCTCAAACAAAAACAATATGTTAGCATGTAAGAAAAGACTAGACATGAGAACAGTATGGTACATTTCAGATGATAAAAGAATACGTCTGGAAACCCCTCTACAAAACTTACTTCAGTCAGTCATCTCTGCCAGTATTCCCACAAATTCACAACTTCCATTCCCTCAGCTGGATTTACAAAGTGTTTCCATCATTGAGCAGACCTCACAGCCAAAACCAAAACGTTTTTTTTCCCCCCAATCAGAGATTTCCAAGCATGTAAAGAAAGCTAAGCTGCTGAACACAAAGAGTTTCTGTGACATTTAAAATGGCATGAGGGAACACAGAACACTGCAGCCAGACTCATTGGGACTTCCAAACAGGGCTTTAGGTTTACAAAAAACTAAATCACACACACTGAAGATAATCTTTGAACCCTCGTAGGCCTTGTGTATCAAAGTTTGATTGTACTTCTGAGCTGTAAGAGAAGCAGCTTCACAGCTGCATGGAAAGAAGTCATGAGTTATGTTGAAAGCAAACAGAAAAACACTTTGTTTTCTTGGAGGGAACAGTACCAAAGTGATTGAAACTCTCCCTTTAAAATCAACTTGACCATGATGAACAAAGAAAGAAACTGCAGATGATCATAATGACAGTCTCATAGATATTATTACTAGTCAACTTTAAATCTTTGACATATTAAATGCAACTTCGGAACAAGGCACAAACTACACAGCTCCACAAAAGAGAAACTTTTCTTGATCAAAACATTTCCACTTCCATTGTGACATGTTTCTGCTTTTGACAAAATCATTAAAACCTAAAATAAAAAGGCGACTTTTCTGAGATTGATCATGTTTAGCAGGAGACCGTCAGGGTTAAAATCCTTTGGTGAGAGAGCCACAATGTTGGTGACAGAGGCTCAGCGACAGCTGTCACGGTGGATTGCTTTGTTTGTGTGTGGGTTTTTTTGTCTTAAAGTGCAATCGATGCTGTGTAAACACTCTTGGTGAATGAGTTGATGAAACAGCCTTTTTTTAAGTGGATAAACCTAAACTGTCTCGAAAAAAACATTCCTCCATGGATCACACCATGTCCACACATGAACTGAAACTGCTTTCATATTGTGTTCACAGTATTTTCGAACCAATCTCAAACTGATGACTGTAACTGAAGAGGAAAATGACATTTCTCAAGTGTGTGATGCCTGATCTTATGTAGCAAAGCTATAACATCAAAGCCCTTAAACAGTTGTGTAGAATGAGATCCACCAGAGGCGCCAACATCCACTGAAAGACATGATTATCAAGCCATCTGTTGGGTTAAGTAGTATAAAAACTGTGGTGATAAGAACAACAACAACAACAAATTAGCCAGTTAACCCAAAGATTCTTCTAAAGGGGGCATGGCCACATATTTTACACACAGTTTATAGACGTGCCATTAGAATTTTGAAGATGGTGTAATGGTTTCTTTGGTCTGGTAGGAATTTCAAAATTCTTCCTCATGAATTCATAATCAGGTCCTCATGGTCATCTCAGCCTGCACTACAAAGCAAATCTGGCATTACAATGTTGGAAGTGTGCCCTTTAGATTCATCATGCAGGTAGCTGGTTCATCGAAACTTAAGGCTTCACTCGCACTTAATTTTTCAAGTGCCAGCTAATGACATCACCTGCGAGGCAATGAAACCATCATGAAAAAAAAAAAAAAGAGTTGCTTGTGCAATCTGCATATTTGCAAAGTTGCACAGAGATAGCTAGTTTAGTTTAGTTAAGCTGCATTAGCATGCCTTGTGAGTGAATAGTTGTTGTCAATATGACGGTAGTGTCTGCAAAGATATGTCCCCAAAGGACACGAACAGCCACTGTCTGGCACTAAAGCAACCTCTCCACATACGAATACTGCCTCACTGAGGCTAATGGAGTTAGCAGTTAGCGTTATCCAAGTTAGCCGCCTGTCACCAACTTCTACAGAAATGAGTAATTGCTTCACTTTGATCCCAAACAGCATGTTTCACTGGTCTGCTGCTCTTTTGGGATATTTACATCATTTTGCTTGCTACCAGCAGCACTGAAACATGTGCACAATATGGCTGGCAGGTGCTAACAAGTTTTAGCAGTCCTCTCAACAGCACACAACTAGCAAAGAATCACCAAGCCAGATGAGCACTTGATGTTACCCCTATTCAAAGTGAAAAACGGGTGAGAATGTTGGAAATGTGACAGGTGCCCAAGGGAGCATTAGCTGTCACTAACTTAAGTAAACTAGTGATTACTCAGTGCAATTATCAGCTTTTCCATTTGATGTTAAATTACAGGCTGAACAAGCTTGTTTGCTCAGGCGTTTTTAGAATGTAATCGAAACATCGCAAGCGACACACTGCATCCAAGATTGTGTGGGCAACACAAAATGTCACAAGTGAGAGTTGGAGTCCAGAGAGACGAAACCTGAAATGTGTGTGGGATTGCTGCCTAGGAGTGACCTGTGGAGATGGTGTGCTGCTGCTTTTTAAGATCCCATTCTGATGCTTGCAATATACACTAAAGACGCTCACGTTAAAACGTCACCCCCTCTTGAATGCTTAAATTGGCTCCTGCAGAGCACACTGTGGCTGTTAGCTAGCCAAGAAACTCGATTACGTTTTGGAAATGGCCACTCTTCAGGATCTCATTCAGACAACAAGAGTACAGAACCATACCACAGACTTTCATCCATTGCCTCAACCTGTTGCGTTGTATCTTGAAGCTTTGTTGGGACATCAGTCTCTCAGCTCCAAACATCTCTCTCTTTTACTGATTGTACTTTAAGCACTGAAGCTAAAGACATGCTGAAAGTGACAGTTCTATCTTATATCATAGCATGATAGGGGTAAATACAGTTTGTCATTTTAAGGATTTGACAGCAGCAGGAGAAAAAGGCAAAGAAAAAAAATGACACGGTAAGCACTGGTGAAAGAATGAATGGCACATTCATGTCCTTGCATGGACACAATCTCTTAGATTTTTGGGTTATCCGGTGCACCTTTTGAAAAAAAGTTTAATTTTATAAATGTTTTGAAATGAAAACAGAACAAACACCCCCCCTCCAAAAAAAACCCAACAAAAAAACAAAACTAATAATAAAGTTCACCTCCAATGTGGCTACAGATACAATATCCTAGGATTTATAGAAGAAAAATTCTGAGTGTGTTGTGATATAGAAATGAATTCCATGAAATGATGTCTTACAGTGTTGCGCTGTTATTCAATCACATCAGCTTTCAGCTTTACAGAAAGGTGGTGGTGACACAGTAACATCCAACAGGGGCCCAGAAGAGCCCCCCCGCAAAAAAAAAAAAAAAAAGGAGACACTGAAATGTTTGGTGGTGTTTAGGAGCAGGGCTGTAAAAATAGATGCTACACTTATTGCTTGTATTAAAACTTGTGACGGGTAATGCAAATTCGTGGCAGACCTGTGACCTTCGCCGTACTAAGAAAACAAACATGCTAAAACAAAAAAACCCCCACAACAGACTGAGAAGGATGGATGATAGAGACTCGTTAAATCAAGGGAAGGGGAACACCTATCTATACGTCTGGTCGAGGCGCATGGCAGGTGAATCAGCACTTCTGTTCAACAGGTAATGTTTGGTAGAGAGCTACAGGCAGCTACACCCCTCAGTGTCTCATCCACCTGCCGCTCGACGACAGAAAAATGACAAAAACGCTCGCTTTGGGAGGGAAACGGTGCCTCTGATGATGACTTCACAGATGAAGAGACGGGCCAGGGAGCATCCTGTATAAAGACTGGATTATTGAGCTACTCATATGGCCGTAGATCCACACTGAAACAGACGTTGGTGGAGAGATTTTATTTGTTTTGTCTAACTTTTTCTCTCTTTTGTATATGTTCAGGTTAAAATAGTATTTGAGGAAGACGAGCTTTACAGTGTCCTGCAGTGTTAGCCTCCACCAGAGACTGTCAGTCCTTCATACGCAAACACACGCTACCCCTATGGCATTATGGGAGAAAAGTTTTTAAGTTTCCATCCTTCGGCTCTCTGCACACTCTTGATAAAACTTTTGACAGTGAGCAACTTGTGGTTAATGCAGTATCACAGAAGAGTTCACTATTGGATTTATTTTCTTCTTATAGGAGGACAAACAGAGAGGAGCCATCTTTGCATAAAGACTTTCGCTCCTCTGTCTTCCAGGATGCCCTCAGCAGGAAGGCGAGGGGAGAGAGGGGGTTGTGAGATGGGGCAGTGGGAATACGAGGCTTTGCAGAATGGATTCTGTGAGTCACAGCTATCAAAGGCTACAAATCTCCTACCACCACCAGCCTGTCTGACACTGCTCCGCACCAGATAATGTCCTCTCTGTGTGGTAAAATGATTTTTGTCGTAATCGCCACCGTTTTTTGTTGTTTTCCATTGTTATATTGTCATGTCTTTAAGTTGACCGGGGTTGTCTGTCGGTTCTTGTGGGTGTTTCTGAACGGGGAAGTCAGATTCCTCTATGCTGTGCTGGACCTACCCAGCTCCTCCCGGATTGCTGAAACACAGAACAAAGACACGGCCACATTCTTAACGTGGATCACAATAAACTAAGCCAACAACTGCAGTTCCTGTAACACTCACTCAAGGCTGGCTTCAAGGGTGAGTCAGTTTCCCCATGTTAAAATACCCAACTTTCGGTGAATCTTTGTAGAAGTGAAAGAATTGGAGCAAAGAGTTATGAACCACCACACTTCTCCAGCGTGTTTGTTCTGTTGGCACCTATTATAGCAATGCCAATAGAATTTAAAAAGTATGAGCTCCTTTGAAGGTACACACCCAAGAAGATGATGCTCCAGTCGTGGTGAATGAAATTATAGTATTTTAGTTGTCAGTCAATTAAAACGAACAAGCAGATATCTGTATCCTTACATCACACTAGGTACACTGCAAAACACTGCTAACCAAACTTGCTAGCTTGCTAACTTGCTTAATGGACAAGTTAGACCTTCTTGTCAAAATATGATCACTTCTGGCTCTCACAAAATAAAAAAAAAGTTTTTAAACAAAGTGTCCAGAAACCATTACTGCACTGTCGTGTTTAGTATGGACTCACTACAAAGCCTTGCTGGTCTTTCTGTAGGATGACTAAAGTGGTGATAATTACCATCAATGAGCTCTTCTTTTAGTTTTGACAGCTCCTTCCTCATCTCATCAAGAATGTCCTAAAAAAAAAAAAGTCACATTTTCATATAAACATGATAAATGTCATTAGACCTCAGAGACGAGCTTGTCTTGTGCAATTGTTAATTTTGCCCCCCCCCCCTTTTCCTTCTTTTACTGTGGGTATGCATCCTGGCAACTGGTAAAAGAAGCTCCCATCTCAACTTTACATAGTAGCTAATCCCTTCTTAGGTAATCTCTGTGGGATTAGAGCTAAAGACTTACTTAATGACACCAAGATGCAAACAAAGTGACATACACAGTATGGAAGGCGTACTAAAATGATGAGCCTCAAGTTTGACCTATAACTTAACCCAGGCTTACTCAGTGAGACAGTGAGTGTGGTGAGTGGGTCTGTGGGCTGTCACGTCTGTGGCCAGTTGTAGTGACAGATATGCAGAACTCTGACAGACTCTTTACTTATCTAAGAGGCTCATTCACAAGGTCAGAGGGAGGAGCTGCCTTCTAACAGGACTGCACACACCCACACTACCACGCACTGAACTACTAACAGGGCTGCATAAATAATGAAGAAACAGACCAAGGTCAATAGACGCTCCAGTTCCAAGTTCCATTTTACTTTTATTTTACAACAACAGCACTATACAGCTGACTTGCTTTAATATGAAAACTTTGTGGAGCAATATTGATATTGTCGGGCGACTTTTGGGCCACAAGGAAAAGAAATTCAGTCACCATATACTGCAACAACCTGAAAACCACAATCACAGTATCAAAGGGAATATGCAGAAATAAAATCTGTGTCTAAAAATGTCTACTTACCTGTTTCAATCTATCATAGTCAACAGCTTCTGTTGGCACACCATTGGCACTTAAGGATGCAGTAGGTGTAGGAGTGGATTTAGGTCTATGAGAAAAGACAAAGAGCATAAAAACTACTTGTAAGATCATAAAGCAACACCAGCTACTATGTGATTTATGAGTAATAAATGGAGGTTTTGAGCTCAGTAAAATCATTTAAACCACACAATCTGCCCTCCTACAAGAATGCCGACTCTTGTTTAGATGCTTGTAAAGCAACTTGAGTAAATTACACCATGAGAGAAAACAGCAGTCGAATAAATATGTCTCAAACTGTATTTGAATCTATTTTATAGAGGAGGAACCATAAATAGTTGAGAGGATAACAAATAAAAACAAATCCGTTGTAATATTTGACATCATTTACATGACAATAAACTCTGCAATCAAACTTGTCTGTCACCACAGGCAGGAGATTTATTAGTATGCTGAACTGCACACTGAGCATTTTCTCTTTTGTGTTAGTCCGATATAAAATGCACATAAACACAATTAGCAGCCAAATCCTGGTCGATGCATGCACAAACATTGGATACTGTACACAGAGACATGCAAGGGAATACACAGAAAAGCAAACACACAGTTCTCAGCCACCTATCAAACTGAAATAAAGAGGGGGCAGGTCCAGTTCATGACATATACTATAATTATATGGAAACTGGATATTAGACTATGCAGTATGGATAGTTTAATATCCATACTGTGAATACACCAAAATATTAAATTCCTTATTAATTCACTAGCACGTTCTGATATGACACAGACTCAGTATTAAGAAGCTGGCAGGTTAAATACTGGGTGCACTGGATATTTGTCTTCTCACATGTTCCTCTGTCAGCTGATGTCTAGGAGAGTTAAGGGCGTGACATAGTCACTCATACCAGATATCCCAAGAATGTGGTTGAGCTGAAGCTTCTCTGGAAAGAATAATAGTATAAAATTCACTGTGGAGAACTGAAAAACTTATAAAAAGGTTATTGCTTCCAGAAGACATTCCCTTACTTTTCCCACAGCTCTGGAAATATTGAATGTGTCCGTTACAAAATAAAGCAACCTCTGTTTGTCTAGACAGAGATCAGACCACATTCGTAACAGTGCAAATACACTTTACTACCCTTGTCTTTTTAAGGAGGAAACCTGAGGTGTGGCACAACTTCCCTGGACCCCCCCCCCCCCCACACACACACACACACACACTTAAAGGAAGGAGGAAGATACCAGTAATTAAGAGAAGGCTGGTATTGCCCCATACACCATGTGAGGGACAAAAAACATTCAGAGCAGCCAGTTACTTTCAAGATAGGACACGTGACAGGAATGAGAAGTGAAGGAAAAGGAAGTGACCTAAACAGCAGGTCATTAGGTAGCTATGGGACTGGGAAAAATTCGGAAACTGAGATTGTGGTGTGTTTGTGTTCCTTTTCATGCTGGTCTCAGAACAGAAGAAACGGTGAAGGTAAGAAACAGACTGAGGAAGATAAATCAGTGCGCACACATTATACAACATTTACACAATAATTAAAAAAAAATATTAAAGCAAACAAATTAGTGTTTTGCAGATGATTTGGTGTATGTGTATATTGTGATTTACCTGCCCAAATGCTGCCCATCACACAGTAAGACAAAATATAAATAAATCTATATATAAAAAGTAGCTACCCCTGGCTGTAGCTCAGGTAATACACACCACTACCTGAGCTACAGATACACATTCACATCGGGATGTGAATGTGTATGAATGTTATATAGGGAGCACTTAACAGTTTAGAAAAAGTGTTTGTGTGAATGGGTGAATGAACGAGTTGTATAAAGCGCTTTGACTGCTCAGAGTAGAAAAGCGATATATAAGAACCAGTCCATTTACCATAACAGTAAAAGTCAACGTTTTTCTGGTCAGATCAACAAAAAGCCCCGTGCAACACTACAGGGTCTGACAAGTGACAATCTGCTCAGCTCAGCTCTCTGTGGGCTGCATATGAAAGTCAATTTTATTAAGCTGGAATCAAAAACACCCATCTGGTCTTCTCTCTTGTGTACGTACACACACACACACACACACACACACACACACACAC